TGCTCCTCGGTCCCGGGCCATGGGCCTCACACGAGGCATGGCCACAGTTTCTGATGGAACCCGGTATGGATTTCCCAGCACTTTATCCTAGTAGTCTCAGCACGGTACTGACTCTAGGCATGTAGTGCATACGATGTCGTCGTTATTGGAGGAGGCCACGCTGGTTCCGAGGCCTCTGCAGCTGCCGCTCGATCTGGCGCACGCACCGCATTGATTACGCCGTCGCTTTCGAACATTGGGGTTTGTTCATGCAATCCGAGTTTTGGAGGAATCGGGAAAGGAACAATGATCCGCGAAATTGATGCCATGGATGGTGTGGCAGGGCGAATCATTGACAAGGCCGGTATTATGTTTCGCATTCTTAATCGCTCCAAGGGACCTGCTGTGTGGGGTCCGCGCGCCCAGATCGATCGGGATCTCTACAAGAAGTACATGCAGGAGGAGCTGGTCGCTACCGAAGGGCTGAGCATAGTGGAAGGCAAGGTTGCTGATATTGTGGTGTCAAAAGAGGGGGTGGAGAACATCCCGGGATCGCAGGGCAAGATTGTCGGAGTACGGCTCGAATCCGGAGAGGTAATACCTACTGGGCGCGTCGTCATCACAACCGGAACGTTTCTCGGTGGAGAAATACACATTGGACTTGAAGCCTACCCTTCGGGGCGTATGGGTGAAGCGGCTACGTTTGGGCTTAGCAAATCCCTTCGCGAAGCAGGTTTTCAGCTTGGTCGCCTCAAGACCGGGACTCCTCCTCGCTTGGATATGAAAACGATCGACTTTTCGCCATTGGAAGTCCAGAGAGGCGACTCCCCTCCGCAACCTTTCTCGTATCTCAACAAAACGGTCGATGTTGGCGATGAAGGTCAGCTTACATGCTGGATGACCCACACCAACGAGGCTTCACACGAGATTGTGCGTGCGAACCTTGACAAATCGATTCACATTCGCGAGACTGTGCGGGGGCCACGCTACTGCCCCTCGCTGGAATCGAAGATTATACGTTTTACGGATAAGACACAGCACCAGATCTGGCTCGAACCGGAAGGATTCGCACCGAATGACGTCATCTACCCGAACGGTATCTCGATGACCATTCCGGCAGATGCACAATATGCCCTGCTACGCACGGTCCGCGGTCTTGAGAACGTGCGCATGCTACAGCCCGGCTATGGTGTGGAGTACGACTACATCGATCCCCGCAATCTCCGGCCGACTCTGGAGACCAAACTGATCAGTGGCCTGTATCTTGCAGGCCAGATCAATGGAACAACCGGATATGAAGAAGCTGCCGGACAGGGGATCATTGCCGGTACTAACGCCGGTCTGTCTGCTCAAGGCCGTCAGCCGTTCACTCTCACCCGGTCGGACGGATTTATCGGAATCATGATCGACGACCTCATCACGAAGGGAGTATCCGAACCCTATCGTATGTTCACCGCACGAAGCGAATACCGCATTTCGACTCGGTCTGACAACGCCGATCTGCGACTCACCCGTATGACCCGTAACGCAGGAGTGGTCTCGGACAAGCGGTGGCGTTACTTCACCGACACAGAAGCACAAATCAAGGAGTTGCAGAACCTCCTCGCCAATACAAAACTTTCCTCTACCATCTGGTCGCGCAAAGGATTCAAAACTCGGACGGATAGCTCTGTCCGCTCGGCGCTCGACCTCCTCTGCCTCGACGGTGTGGACATCGACGCTTTGATCCCCCACATCGAATCGCCATCAGGTATGGCATACACACCGTCGTCATTCGACCCCATAATCCGAACCCGGGTCAGCATCGAAGGTCGCTACGCCCCTTATGTCAAGCGGCAAGAGGCAATGGCGAGGAAATTCCTGCAGGATGAGAGCCTCACCTTGCCTCCGGACCTGGACTACTCGAAGGTTCAGGGCATCAGTACCGAGGAAAGACAGGCTCTCGAGCGCGTCCGACCCGTTAGTGTGGGAATGGCGAGGCGCATCGAAGGAGTCACGCCAGCGGGTGCTCTGAGGTTGCTGATGCACGTCCGCAGGACCATCGACACGAGCAAAGAAGCACTCGACGCAGACGCGATTGAAGGATCTGCGGAAAGCGTGTTACGTGGATCTGTTTGAGAGTGCAGAATGCAGCGTGATGCTCAATCATCTAGGAGGCTTGTATGATTAACATTGGGGTTAACATTTATTGGGAAACTGCATGGCGCATGGGATGGTACAGCGACTGAAATATTTCTAGGGCTTGTTATATGGCATTGTGGCATACTATACCAAGGTTATTCTACTCCGTATACTCTCAGAGGTCTCGCCTCAACAACAACAACACATATCATGTATTCCTGATCTCCAAATTCGTAACATGTCCCTTCTCCATCTACTATTTAAAAAGCAGAATAGTAAACTCCCCAAGTCTTAAGTAAGATGATCGAGTCGATGATCATAAGCAACGTGGTGGGTCGAACAACAAACTTTCCGCAGACCGAAGGACCATGACCCTTCTATGATGATCATCAGCTGAGAGTGATTATTTTATCCCGTCCAATTAACCGTTCAATCTACGCCACGTATATAGGAGTGTAATCTTAACTTTTATTGCAATGATAACTTAGTTATCTATCTGTCTATCTGTCTATCTATCTCTTCTTTACCTTGGACTCACTCGTTTTCTTCTGCATGCCATTCCCGCTGCCCAGCGCCTATGTATATTTTACCACTTTTCCACAACAGCGATAGGTCTCGAATGCTGCACTAAATCCTTCCGGGACGTCGCAGGTGCTAGCGCGTCGGGTTCGCACGACTTTCACAGCCCCTGAGCTTCAGTATCTTGTGCGACGAGGTGCACTCGCTGGAAGAGGGTAATCACTCAGCTTCGCCGGCGAAAGCGACTGCTCACCCTCATCTTTCCGCTCGCACCTCGACGACAATGTTAGTACCTCGGATGTATTCGCGAGTGCGAACGCTACTGCTTGCAGTATTTCTCGCATCGGTCTTAACCTGGTCCTTCGCGCGATGGCGATCTGTCCCAGTCAAGTCAGGCGACAAAAGCCCTTCCTACCTTGCCAGCGACGGGGTTGGAGTCTTGCATTCTACCGATGGTCATATTCATTTCTGGCAGCAGTTCCAGCCACTTTTGGCCAAATACCAGCCGAAATGCGACCCGCCCACGCGACTCGGCAATGCGCCGTCTATACGGTTCGAGGAAGCGAAACCGGAAGACCGACGGGAGTATCTGGACATGCTACCGGATCAAGTAGAGGTCATGAAGAACGCGCATACGGGGTTTGTCAGCGACATCAAGAGTAACCCGCCGCAACTACACTATGTCCCCAACACAAGGGGCCTGGTCTCGACAGCAGGAGGTTCGTATCTGCCCGTTCTGGTCATTTCTCTTCGAATGCTCCGGAAAACAGGTTCAGAGCTTCCGGTAGAGGTCTTTTTGGCAAACGAAGAGGAGTATGAGGAGTATATATGCGATGTGATTCTGCCGTCTCTGAATTCCCGATGTGTGGTGCTGTCGCACATTCTCCATGCCGTCCCCAAGATCATGCAGATAGAGAAGTACCAGTTCAAGCTCTTCGCGATGATGTTCTCGTCTTTCGAAGAGATCCTCTTCTTGGACGCCGATGCCTTCCCGCTGGAGAAGCCAGACATCCTGTTCACGAACGAGCCCTTCCGATCGAAGAACATGGTCACATGGCCGGATTTCTGGGCCGACACCATCTCGTCATACTACTACAAAATCGCATCGAAGCCGATGCCCCCAAACACCATCCGCCAGTCGAGCGAATCCGGCGAGCTGCTCATCTCCAAGAAGACACATTCGAAAACGCTACTCCTGAGCACGTACTACAATTTCTGGGGCCCAAAATACTACTGGGCCCTGCTGTCGCAAGGCGCAGCAGGGGAGGGCGACAAAGAGACTTTCGTCGCAGCCGCTCTGACTATGGACGAACCGTACTACCAAGTCAGCGAGCCCATTGTCGCCATCGGCCACCGCACCAAGTCCGGCCTGGCCGGCTCCGCAATGGTCCAATTCGACCCCGTCGAGGACTACTCCCTGACGCAGAAGGGGAAATGGCGCGTGCACGGCTCCAAAGCGCCCGCGCCCCGCGCTTTCTTCATCCACGCCAACTACCCCAAGTTCAACCCCGCCACGGTATTCGACGAACAAGACGTCACCCCGACCTTTGAAGATGACGGCAGCTACACGCGCGCCTGGACGATCCCCGAAGAGGTGATTGGGAAGTTCCACACGGATGTGGAGAAGCAGTTCTGGAGGGAGATCCTGTGGACGGCATGCGAGCTCGAAACCAAGTTCCGGACCTGGGAGGGCCGCGAAGGAGTATGCCAGCGAGTCAAGGACTACTGGAATGCGATGTTCCCCACCCAGCAAGCCAAGACATGAACGGTTGTCCTGAAGGTTGACATCTCGAACCGGACCTTTGATGTAGGAGGGCATAACCGCGGAACCGGGAATTGTCTATCCACCAGCATCCTACGGTGGCCAGGAGGCCACTTCGTCAGTGACCAGGACACATTTAGGGCATGGTCAAACTCCACGATGTCGAGCGACGCTAATGTGAAACCGTACTCGAAGAATGTGCTTTCATACGCCCTACGAGGGTGAGCAAACAATCTTGCCGGCTTTACAAATGTAAACACTCGAAAGGCAATCACGTCTGTCCATATATTCGTTCGCCATTGATCGTTCCCTTCTATGAAATCACATCGCATCTATCGGTCATTTCATCGACTGGTGTGCGATCTACTCCCGCAGAAAAACATTGAGAAACGGGAAGGCTCATGCTTATAGCACTTCGCTTCATTTGTAAATATCAAGTCTATACTGCCCCTTTTTATGTACATCAGCCAGTCATATACACTCCAACAATGCAAATATTTACCGCCAACTTGCAGTAACACATCAAACGAAATGTAGGAGGCGACCGTATCGAGTTTAATCGCTCTGCGCCGAAGCCATACACTTTTTCCCTGAACCATCTATACACTATGCACGAAGTTCACGAGGACTTCTTCCCGCTGGCTCTTGCAATGCGCTTCTGTATTTCCTCCTTAGTGAGGATCTTTACAGCGTCTTTGGAAAAGACGTAGCTGAGCCCAGACCAGATTGTAGTGGCTGCAACGAGGTACCTAGGTGAAAAGTTAGAATGCGATGCAAATAAATAAAGAATATTAACAAAAGAAGAAACAAGAGAAAACAAAAAGGAAGGAAGATATGTAGATAAAAATGATTTTGCAAAAAGCAAAAACGTACAACAGCCGGGATTCGCTGGTGGTCACCCACCCAACTACTAACCGGCCGGCGTGTGGCTTAAGTACGGCTGAGCGGACGGGAAGCCCTGTTTTCCACACCCTATGGTCGTACGTGCTAGAATTTCATCCGACAGCAACCATATGCGCAGGGATCTCCCATTCTCTTCCACATTTCAAAAGAAACAAGGGTGAAAATTGATAACGATGGGAAAGAAAAGGAATCTGTGGTACTTACTGCAACGCCGTCATTCCTTCTCGGAGACTCCATGCATCGAGGACTGCCTCTGGAATCACAGGCAATGCGATCGCGGAGCCCACAAGCACAAGCTGCAAAGCTGTGTTGACTTTGGAGATACCCGTTGGCTTGACCTCTGCGGAGGGAAGGGAGAAATCCCAGTATCGTGCCATGGTCTTTGGCGGGGGGAGAGATATCCAGCGGTAGTAGATTGCAGACAACGCAAGACCAACATCGCGACCGAGAATGATAACCGCAAGCCATACTGTTCCCGATCAGTGACTGCCAAGGAGAAATAAGGAAGATTCCCTTGTTCTATATTCGAAAGACGATAACAACAGCGTCGTGGAGGAAGAAGGAGCCCTACCAGGAATAGAACCATTGACGGCCAAGCAAGCAACACCAATCGTCATTAACAGTTTATCGGCCATTGGATCAATAATGGTACCGACGACAGTCTGAAGGTTATACCGTCGGGCAATATAGCCGTCCACAAGATCCGTGAGACCAGCATACACAAATAATGATAGTGCAGCTGCATGATGATCATGAATGAGGAAGTAGCCTACCAAGGGAGCCGCAACTAGACGAGAGAATGTGAGGATATTGGGAACGGTGTAAATGTTCTCATGAGTAGGAAGAGGAATTCTGGAAAGGATTGGAGACTTTTTCGAGCCGGCTTGAGGCCTACACATGGTTAAAATCTCGCCAACGATAGTCACCCACATGCGAGGAGACCTGCAGTGGCACCGACATGACGCAGAGATCAATACTCACTTTTGAGAGGGGTCTTCCATCTGACCATCCGGCTTTTTTGAGCCTGACCATCTCCTCTGTTGATTAAGTGCTCGGCCACAGGGAGGCTCGATAACACGGAACGTACAGCCCGTGTCTCTCGCGAGCCTAGCAAGTGTTAGGCTCGATGAAAGACCTAGCGCGAATAGGCGATATACATACCTATCTTGTAGGTATCTAGGACGAGCTGATGGAGTGGATACCGTCAAGGAGTGTAGGTTCTTCCACCAGGGGTTTAGCCATCCTCTGCAGGTGGCGGAATTCGATCCGAGTGGATGAAACATGGTTGCTCTCCATAGACTTGGAGATTGCCTGATCGCTCGAATGGGCATCGGCAGGAGAGTATTAGGTGCCATGATGACCTTTGTCAATCAACGGCACAAGAAGTGGGATAATTGAAATAGCAGATGAAAAGCGCTTGGCAAAAATAGAGATCTGTTCGGAGGTCTGGTTCAATGCATATGTCCCGGTTGGCAAATTTTCCTAACTCAAGACAGCCGCTGAGACAGTATCATAGTCAATTAAGCCCTGGTGTTTATGTGTCCATCAGAAATATGCTGTCAACTGGAAACCCATATGCTATGGGGTCAACGATCAAAAATGAAGGCCAGATTCAAAAATATGCACGATGACGGAACGAAAGTCGGCGCTCTTGTGGCGAATATGAATGTAACAAAAAGTGAGAGACGGCCTATTCAGGCGACGAGTTGGATAGTCAACAATATATCTCTTTGATTTTGAATTTGTAGTGATGACCGGAATATATGATGGCGGGTCAATCACCCGATTCCAAGCAACTCAACAGCGGTCTCGGGTCAGAAGGTATACAGGTGACGGTGGGACCAGACAGCGGCCAACTACAGACCGGCTGGATCCCAGTTGAGCCCGAAAAGCCGCACGAAGGCTTGTGTCGCAATGAAGCAAGAAAATAGTTTCAATGTATACAAATCGAGGCTCGTGACCACCTTTTTCTGTCTGGGGAAAGGAAAATGCGTACGGAGGAAGTGTTGTTCCGGCCAAGTCATGTGATTGTTCCTGAGGTTGTTGTACATCGATCTGGGGTAAACCTTTGAGCGAACATCACCATGTTGAATTGTCCTCAAAATGCTAGGATACGATAGAGTTCCTTACTTTGCTCCTGAAATCGGGGCCATTATTTAAGAAGGCGTAAGACGTCAATCACAACGGTGTGGTGTAACCGCCTCATCTCTCGATCCTGAAGCTCGAATCATAAGGCACATTGACACAGAACTAATGATGATCGAGATTGTGATAGAGTCATACTTGGTACAGTCAAGATAGAGTCAGTAGATGGAAATAAGAAATAACTCAATGACGGCTGTGCATGGCTCAGAGCTTTCATGAGTTGCTTTTGCTACGACATAGGGATGTATACATAGATATATACTTCGAATGTTCTGTGGTCACCTCCAACATACAACAGTCATCTATACCATTCCTAAAATTTCCAAAGAACAGAATGTGTTCAAGACTCATTAGCTCTCCACCTGACCTCCCAGGTCGACGAAGCAACACATTCACTGGCGCATTCACCACATCCATAGTAGCACATCCGTCCGTCTCTCATCTGACTGTAGACCCCTTCTCACCTGACTCCAGCCATGAGCATCTGTCCACAAACTCGGTTTTCGCCTTCAAGTTTGCCAAAGTAAGTCAAAAGCAGAGCACTCTGCATATGACACTGGTTAACTTACCTCATAACTAATGATGCTGAATTTACAGGTTGTTTGCGGATCCCTACTTCTATCGCTCATGGATCGACAAGACAGAAACGCGACCTCATACATAGGACTTTGACATGCAGCAGCCATTTTTGGCTACCTGATACGACAAGAACAAGCCTGGGAATGCCAATCATGAACGGTCCTGCGCCTCCTGCACTGCTGCCTCGCGACTTGGCTGTCCCTGGCAACAAGCAAAAGAAACTTGAAACCAGCAACACAGGGTCCCAGATGCCTGCAGATCCCAATCTGGCAAACCCGCGACTATTGCTCAACGGAGCCTGTATCTACGAGCGTCAATTACCCGGCGACGCATACATCACAGCGCACGTCCAGCGACTGCAGCATGGATTCTACTCCAGCCCTGCCGTTTCCGACAAGGACTATGACCACGTCGACTTCCTGGGGATCAATTTCGTCTTCCACTCACCCAACACTTTGGCGCATCGGTTCAAGGCGGCTACGATTCGAGCCTCTGTGCAGGGTACCCGTCATGTCGCTTCGTCGGACCACTACCCAAACGGCTACCCGCCGGGAAACCCGCGCTTCCTAATGCATGCACCACATCTGATCTACGGGGCTATATCGCCAGAGACACTGCAGTGGAACTACAGCCTGTCCGGATCACTGGGAGTTGTTGAGTTGCCGCTGATGGCCAGCCTCTCCCCCACGGGTGGTATTAATGGTCGATACAGACGCTATGAGATGATGAGAATCCAGGGATCGGTACGGACTTTGAAGAGCCCACGAGGACGGAAGTTCGACATCGAAGCCGGGGAAATTGTCTGGTCACTGGAGGAAAACAGCTTGCAGAGATCAGGCCTGCCGCGGGAGTTCACGTTTGCCATGCTGATCCAGAAACCGCGCGCAGACAGCCGCATTGTTTTCTCCCTGGACATCGAGCCGACCCTGCAGTCGTGGTACGGTAGCTACCCAGACTGGTGGTTATCGATGCCCAAGTATCAGCCTCTGAGTCGACGGCCTGTGGACTTCAGATCAGAGGTTGGACAGCGCTTCGAACCTGTCGAATCAAAGAAAGGATTCAATTTCGCGACTCTCGAAAGCTCATTTGACGACTACGTGAGCATGCCGGGGAAGAGACTCGCATCCGTTGTAAGTTCCAAACCCCAATGATAGGAAACAAAGTTGACGCAGACGATCTCAGATCCCAACCGACGGAGGAGTGCTGCAAGACGACAACGACGCTCTCCAAGACCCCAACCATGACCGCACCATAGTCGAGCCGATCCGGGGGATCGCAAGATTCGCATACCCCAATACCCTCGCCAGCGCCGCAGCAACAGCAACTCCAGCACCAGCGCCTAGCGAGCCGGCCCTCATCGCACGCCGCAGAACCCGAATCTCGGATCCTAGCGCCTTGACCATCCACCTCCTGATGGACAACCAGATGGCCTCGCACCTGTCAAGTCTGCGCGGGAGCCCTTCCACCACCAAACCCACTCCCCATAGCGACAATCATAACGGCAATAGCACTGCCAAGCGGGATAACAGCGATCGCCGAGAGTCCCCGAGGGCACTGCCCGCAGCCACGATCCCAGCACCGCCTCAGCGCCGGACAACCCTCCGCAGGACAAGATCGAGAGAAGGACTAAATTTGAATCTGAATCATCACCCGGAGCCGCGCCCCCAAGTATCCGACCGGCGTTTTACCTGATGCACATTTCTTTTTTCCCCTCTTCCTGTCAATATCAGTTTCACATCGCTCACATGACCGGTGACTGACGTGACAACGCGGGAGTCCGCATGCTCATCTAGTCACATGAGGCGCAGCACATCCACATCCACGCCAAGTGCCTTACGTACCTCAATTTGAATGGAATGGAATGATCACCACACCCTGCGAACAGTGCGAAGTACCTACCTACCCTACGTAAGGGCACCCAGGTAGCCGGGCAGATAACCGGGTCCCACCAATCAAGGTGTCCAAAGTGGGGTTCTTCTGATCCGCGTCTCCCGTCCCCAAGCGCCCCTGATTCGTTGACCAAGCACCCAACGGGCTACGGGACAAATCGGCCCACTGGCGAATGATCTGCAACTGCAAGCAGGTTATGTCACGTACTGTATCCGTCATAGACAAGGAAAAAATAAAAAGAGACACGAAGTTCAGAATGCAGTTTCGCAGATTGATCTCTGGTAGTAGATGAGTCCATGGGTGAGAGATTGTTTCATTCTGACTGCCTAGACTAGAGCTTCTCCGTACCATAAAAGTAGATATTCTGTGCGGACAGCGGATAGCAGACGGGGGGCCCTAGTTAGCGGTGGATCTGACAATGGCCTATTCAATTTACCTCCCGAGTCTATCCTTGAGGATTAAAAATGAAGGTTTTCTAGATTGCGGTCTAGTACACACTAAGCATCGTATTTCAACGTCGAACGAAGAAATACTGACGATTATGAAGCAGCAGTCACTGACTGTCACAAATCGAACAGTAGTGATGATGTAATCCATTCGTTCCCTCGAGATGTTACATGCAAGGAATGGAGACATGGCACGTAGCACCTTCGTTTCAGCACCAGGAATATCGGCCTGGGCGATTAATTGGACTATTGAAAGTATGATATAACATCCCCTGGTAGACCCGAATACAACCTATCAGAGCAAAGAAAAAAGACATCAATGTGACCTGGCTTATAATCGGCCTGTGAGGATGCTCTTAGCTCCCGTATACACCTAGAGCCTCTCTCCGTAAAAGAGCAATAAGGATATAATAGCTTAGCAAAGCAGGAACGGAACTGAAAACAGAGACAAAAAAAAAAAAAAAACCACAGATAACCACCCAGACCGAACCACCCAAACCGCGACATTGCTCATAATCATGTAAAAGACGGTGCAACTGAACCTGAATGAAGGACCCTCTGAACAAGTGCAGGAGAAAAGAATAAAGATCACAATTGGCTAAGAACAAAAAGATTTTGATGTGTATCATATCGTCGTAGAAGACAACACAGCAAAACATGAAACAGCCTCCGGTATCTTCTCTAAGAGCAGAATCCCATCCGGGTAAACATCCATACCGTGCATGCAGAATCTATCTCCAAATCGCCGCCCTCAGAGATATAATGTGAAAAAAAAAAAAAAAAAAAAAAGAAACGGGGTAATCATAGGAAGGGTGTACGGTTGTACGAAACAAATAGAAAGGAAGAAACAAGGGAATATAGGAGGGTAGCGAGGCGAAGTTACATTTGCGGCTGAGCTGGAGCAGTCGTGGTCCATGTCGAAACAGGGTAACTCGCATGCGCGGCCGGCGCCGTCGCTCCCATGTAATACTGAGGCCTGTCGCTTCCCGTATAGTAATGAGCAGGTATAGACTCGCGACGAGGGATACTAGGATCGAACGCTGGCGCAATGCCACGCTGCTCGGGTGGATGCGACGGCCCATCCATGTGGCCTGAGAGACTGAAACTGTTCCCTCGAGAGAAGGTCGCCGGGGTGGAAGGATCAATCGGCGACGTCACGTCCGTGGCAACACTGCGCGACGAGATCGAGGAGTTTCGGTAAGCCGACACACTTTGATCCGATGTAGAGCGATTGCGCTCGCTCAGAGAACTAGGTATGCTGCTGTTCAGGGTGGACGGCATGGATGAAGACAAAGGCCCATGGTTGATTGAGTCAAAACTGGTGCCATACGGAGTTGGAGCTGGGTTCGGATTCCTGTACTGCGGATAGTCCTCCGTCTTTTGCGGAACATGCGCGGGCGCAGAAGGGGCGGGAAGGTACGGATTCTGTGCGGGCATTGAGCCTCCAATGGAATATCCAGGAATCGATGCAGACTGTGGTGCGTGAGAGGCAGTGTAAGGCGCCGTATGCATGTAAAACTCGGGGTGGGGATTCGGCATGGCGTATCCAGGAGGCGCCATCAGCTGCGGCCGATATCCATAAATGGCATGAGACGGATCATTCGGATTCTCGAGTCCACCTGTCTCCAGATCATCGATTGGAGCGCGAAAGCTCTGCTTCTGCGTCAGTTCCGCGCGTGGGCGAATATATCGCAGCGACTCCACCATCGACGGCGGATTCAGGACCCCCCGCATCACATCCTCAACGCTGTAATACGACACCAGGTGGTGAGTCACCCCAGAGACAGTTACGCTCATTGTCTTCTTGACCAGCCCCGAATCCTTGAAGCCGTATGAATCCACCAAGGAACCGACCAGTGCCCGTTCCACGTCCGATTGATGCGACCGATCGCCAAACGAGCCAGATGTCGACGAGGGAGAATAAGATCCACCGTTGCTATCATGACGCGGGTAGGGTTCGCCAGGCCTCGCAGAAGGCACCGGACGTCGGTTGGCCTTCTTCATCGCTCGTTTCTTCTCTCCTGGTGGAAACGGCTTTTCAAGCTCTCGATAGACTAGAAAGTTGCCCAAGATGCGACTGGGACTCCACGTAACTCCGTCTGTCCATCGTTTGATGCCTGATGAGTTCTCCTCGTAGATGAACACACTGCCGCTGCGGACGAGATGGCTCCTTTCGCGATCATGAGGTCGGCGAGGAACGTGATGTAGGATGCCCGTCAAACAGGCCTCGAACAAGATCAGTGCATCTTGCGTCGTTGCGACATACCCCGTGAACGTGGGTTCCAACACCGCAGCGGTGCCGTTCACCATCTTTTGTTTCTTTTGTCCCCAAATTGATGGGGGAGGTTGTAGTAGAGTTAGGTTAAAACTTAGTTGACAGGGGAGGGGCCCAGAGAAGTAATATCGATCAGAGTTGAACCACTGCTGGATCAGAGTTTCAAAGCAACGCGGCTAGGACTGCGATGTTTCCACGAAGTTTAAGAGGAAGGAGCGAGTGACCAGATCCAACAGCTATGGTTTCGCGCAACTGCTGGCTGGAAGGAGGCGTATAATTCTTTCTTGCTTGTGTTGAGGCTGATGATATAGTTTTGGGCGCACAATATAAGGAGAGAAATTGAAAAGAAGTGGAAAAGAGAGGGGTAAAAGAAAGATGGCAATGTTCGAGATGTATGTAGGTCAGGGTAGGGTAAGGTAAGGTAGTGAGTAGGTAGTAGTGACACTCCGGGGCAAAGTAAGTGGAAGCTCACGGCAAGGTCGAACCGTAGAAGAAGGGCCGATGGTGCGAGTTTAAAACCAGACCTCCCCCCTCTCTGTCTCTCCAGAGAGTTTAAAGTCTACCAGAGTTTCTCGACTTTCTGCAACCCGGATCGACGACCAGCACGGGCCCCAGTCTCGTTTTGTTCCCTCAAATCTCCGTCTAGACGGAGGAGGCCCCAACAAGCAAAAACGGGAAAAAAAGGAAAAAGAAAAGATTGGATCCGGATTCTGAATTTCTGGAGAATGGAGACTTGATCCAGTGGAACACTTGAACACTGGATAGACAGACACGGATGGAATACGCCTGGCCCTAGTAGTATAAAAGCTGGGTCGACTGGAGCTTCTGGTTCCACGGGTAGCGATCGAATCGTATAGGTTGACTTGAGTCTTCCAACCACAGAAACTTGCGGTAATTCCCAAGCCTCTGATTGTTCTGGACTGGCCAGAGGAGATAGCATCAGCACCTAATTCACCTTTTTCGCATTTCCTTTTATAATTTATGATTCATAAGAGAGAGAGAATAGCAGTGCCAAGTTCTCGAAGGAATAGGGGAGAAGAAATAGTAGAAACGAACAGTTCAACTGGTGCTGGAGTGGCTGTTCTGTAACTGTATCGCAGCAGAAGGAATGTCAGCCGATTTTATCCACTTTGGGACTCAGGACAGCCACCAGTGCCATGCGAAACAAGGAACAACGAGAAGAACCTCTCCAGAATAAGCAAAGAGGGAAAATAAAAAGAAAGCAAGCCTAGAACACGAGGTAAAGGAACAGAAGGAAAGTGATATGATATAGATACCTGGGAAAGAAGTGTCGACCTGGAGAGGGGGACCGATTTTAAAGAGTAATCGATGATGGTCGAGAAACAGTTTAAGCAATTCACATTAACATGCAAAAGAGCAAGGGTAAGATAGATAGGTAATGTCTGTCTCTTCTACGGAGTGAGTACTTGTTTTGCTATTTTGTATTCTATTTGATTTTGATTTTGGTTTTATTATTTTTTGCAACTCGTCAGAAAAATAGAATAAAAAGATTGAAAAAAAAAAAAAAAGAAAAAGAAAAGAAAGTGGATTACTATGCTGGCTACAGGAAGAGTAGGCTAGGACAAAGCCGGGTATGGTGTGGGAGAAGAAGGAGCAGTCCTCCGTAGTTACAGAGTAGATGACTAGGTAATTAGCAGGCTTAGCAGCAGAAGAAGAACTGTATAGTCACAGTTAGTATTGCCGATAGACTTGACTATCCGGACTAGGCTACGGAGTAACTAGTTGATGGGCAGCTAAGGCCGTCGTGTGGGCGGGGCGACCCATGGTAATCCGGTAGTCAGGTAGGCCTGAGCAGCAGCCAGAGGCCCAGAGGCCCAGAGAGGGGGATGGATGAGGAGGCAAGACCATGATCATTATCACATTATGATTGGAAGGGAGGAGGAAATAATCGGGGTGGAGGCTAGGACGATAGGCTAGGTGCAACTAGTGAATCCCAAGTTCCCAAGTTTCCAAGGGGCTAGCACTTAGCAGAAAACGCCGCAGAAGACTAAGAGCCAGAGCCATGAGAGAAGATGACGGTGGATCTCCATCCATGAGGCCATGCAGGATCCAACATTCCA